ATAGAACTACCAGATTTCTCCCAATAAGTTAATATACAGCCTATTACAATATAAATAAACATGTAAAAAGGAAAAAAAGCTTTTAATAAATGTAAAAGTGTGTGTGTGTGTGTGTGTGAGAGACTTCAAAGTAGAATAGAATAAGAATATTGTTTTTAAATAGTACTTGAAATAGACTCAATTACACCCTTTTTCTACTGGACTGGTGTGGCTACATTTTTTGACAAATAAATGCAGGTCTGAATTAGAAGCCTGGTCTGAATGAACTGTTTCCCATCTTTCCTGAGCAAGAGTTTTGTACGAAAGGAATTAAAAGCCTGTCCCAGATAGACACAAAATATAGGCAGGGTGAGTTCAGTGATTATAGCAAATAAAAGCCTGAGCTATTAATTGAAGTTTTACGGTAGTTGGATTAATCGTGCAGCCCTAGTTTAAATTTTAGATTAATTTGTGTGTTTATCGTATTTAGTAGGTTAGTGGTTGTAGTTTAGCTTTAGCTTGTAGTTCAACTTTGTGTTTTAGTTGTTTTCAGTTAGTATTTGCTCGTGGCCAGAGTTGGTCGGCACTGTTGCTTTCCTGGCTGCAAAGTTTAGGCCTATTCTATATTTTGCTAATCCTTTACTTAGTATTTTTATTTTGACACAATGGTTCAGACTTGTGCTTTTGACTGCTGTAGAAGCACCACTGAAGTGCATTCTTTCTCGATGATGATCCCATGAGAAACAGCAGGGCTATGGCAACATAGTGACACTCCCTCACAAACACGCACACCGACTAGCCGAGGCGGCCCACCAGAATTTGTCGGACACCCCTCAATACACCATCCTTCCATTTAGGGGGTCAGATTAAAGGCGACGTGACATTGCACAAGATTGGTGGCTACTACAAGACAAGAATATATTTTAATTGACCTACTACTTTAAAAAATATATTTATAGTTGAAATATTGAGTGGGGGGGGGGTCTAAAGATTTTGAGCATTAAACATTAAATTTCCTGCATTCTGGAGACATTTTCTGCACCAATTTGTGGTGGAAATGTCTTCATTTTTATAAAGGGAAAAACAAAATTCAGGTGGCAGGTGACAATTCACAATGTAAAAATAAAATATAATGCAGTAATCAGTAGCTGCTAATTTTTTGCTTAACAAATGCTTTCAAAAATGTGGTGTCTACATGTCCCCAGTGTAAATGACCCTCCCTCTCTACAGGTTGAGCTACTCCATGCTTACCGCTTCACCTGCACTCTCCTCCTGCTCTCTCTCTCACTCACGGTCACTTTGTGACTCTGTTTCGCTCTCACACGCCTCCTCTTCTGCCTGGCAGTGGCCGCCACAGCTCTTTTACTCCTTCAAGTGCCTTCACTACGTCGGGTACTGCAGCTGATGTTGAATCTTCTGCAGCCCTGGTATCAAACATATTGGTTATTTTCGCGCATTTGGTGGCGTCCGATGAAGTATTTTTTTTTTTTTTTTTGTGGCCCGTAACACAAGAAACGGAGAGCAGAGGTGGTGGGGGCTAGTAAGAGATGGGATTGGGCTAGCCCAATATCAGTTTAGAAAACTACCCAATGGGCCGCTGTCCATGCTTTATGGGTCGATCGTCAGCCCATTTTTAAAAAACAGTTATATACAGTAAATACATAATTTACATTACACCGGCCCCAAAGGTGCGTCGGCCCACCGGGCATTTGCCCGGTATGCCAGAGGCACTATTGTCCATATAATTTTCAAAATCAAAGTATGTGCTCATAAATTGGCTCTTTTTCACTTTAATATCGGCATTGGCCACCAAAACCCATATTGGTTGTGCTCTAGCTGATATTAGTAGCTCTGTTCTAATCTTTATTGGATTTGATAAAATGTTAATAGTAGTAGGACCACTTTTTACAACATGTCTTAAAAGAAAAAAAGAAAAAAGAAATATTGAGTGATGAATTTGTCATTGTTTACTGCATAATGTGCTTTGCGAGATTGATGGCCTTTTGACCTGAAGAACTGTTCCAGGAACCCAGAAAAAAGTAAAAAATTATCTTTTATAATAGTCCAAGGTATTCAAATGACTTGTTTTATTTGATCATATACAAACAAAATTGTTGAGAAATATCTCTGTCATGGCGAAAGCAAAGCACATGCTAGATTACAAATCACTCCATACTCTCTGCTGTTCATTGGCATTACCTTATTTAAATTACTGCACAGAAGTTTGCGGAAACACATTCCAAAGTACGATACAATAATTGATAGTACTGTAGAAAAGAGCAATACGTATAATCCATAATGTTGTTTTTTTTTAAACACACCAATCTTTTATTTTTACAGTCTAAAGCTTTAAAATTTACTGACCTGGCTGAATTTCAAACAGCAGTACTGATGTACAAAGCAAGAAATAAGCTTTTACCGATCAATTTACAGAAAGAGATGAGACGTAGAATTTAGGAGAGGCATCAAACTTTAAGACTGGCAGCTTTAGAACCACAAGAAGTTTCAGTATAGCAATATATGGTGTCAAAATATGGAATAAAATAAGAGATGAGGTCAAAGAGTGTATTTCAATTTAAAAATAGATACAAAGAAACTACTCTCAAGAAATACAGAGACAAAGAAGGGTTTTTAGTTTTTGTTTGTTTTTTTTCCTCAGGGATCCAGATGTAGGTGGGGAGTGTGAATATACACTTCTCAAAAAAAATAAAGGGAACACTTAAACAACACAATGTAACTCCAAGTCAATCACACTCCTGTGAAATCAAACTGTCCACTTAAGAAGCAACACTGACAATCAATTTCACATGCTGTTGTGCAAATGGAATAGACAACAGGTGGAAATTATAGGCAATTAGCAAGACACCCCCAATAAAGGAGCGGTTCTGCAGGTGGTGACCACAGACCACTTCTCAGTTCCTATGCTTCCTGGCTGATGTTTTGGTCACTTTTGAATGCTGGCGGTGCTTTCACTCTAGTGGTAGCATGAGACGGAGTCTACAACCCACACAAGTGGCTCAGGTAGTGCAGCTCATCCAGGATGGCACATCAATGCAAGCTGTGGCAAGAAGGTTTGCTGTGTCTGTCAGCGTAGTGTCCAGAGCATGGAGGCGCTACCAGGAGACAGGCCAGTACATCAGGAGACGTGGAGGAGGCCGTAGGAGGGCAACAACCCAGCAGCAGGACCGCTACCTCTGCCTTTGTGCAAGGAGGAGCAGGAGCACTGCCAGAGCCCTGCAAAATGACCTCCAGCAGGCCACAATTGTGCATGTGTCTGCTCAAACGGTCAGAAACAGACTCCATGAGGGTGGTATGAGGACCCGACGTCCACAGGTGGGGGTTGTGCTTACAGCCCAAAACCGTGCAGGACATTTGGCATTTGCCAGAGAACACCAAGATTTGCAAATTCGCCACTGGCGCCCTGTGCTCTTCACAGATGAAAGCAGGTTCACACTGAGCACATGTGACAGACGTGACAGAGTCTAGAGACGCTGTGGAGAACGTTCTGCTGCCTGCAACATCCTCCAGCATGACCGGTTTGGCAGTGGGTCAGTAATGGTGTGGGGTGGCATTTCTTTGGGGGGCCGCACAGCCCTCCATGTGCTCGCCAGAGGTAGCCTGACTGCCATTAGGTACTGAGATGAGATCCTCAGACCCCTTGTGAGACCATATGCTGGTGCGGTTGGCCCTGGGTTCCTCCTAATGCAAGACAATGCTAGACCTCATGTGGCTGGAGTGTGTCAGCAGTTCCTGCAAGAGGAAGGCATTGATGCTATGCCCGCCCGTTCCCCAGACCTGAATCCAATTGAGCACATCTGGGACATCATGTCTCGCTCCATCCACGAACGCCACGTTGCACCACAGACTGTCCAGGAGTTGGCGGATGCTTTAGTCCAGGTCTGGGAGGAGATCCCTCAGGGGACCATCCGCCACCTCATCAGGAGCCCAGGCATTGTAGGGAGGTCATACAGGCACGTGGAGGCCACACACACTGCTGAGCCTCATTTTGACTTGTTTTAAGGACATTACATCAAAGTTGGATTGGCCTGTAGTGTGGTTTTCCACTTTGATTTTGAGTGTGACTCCAAATCCAGACCTCCATGGGTTGATAGATTTGATTTCCATTGATAATTTTTGTCAGCACATTCAACTATGTAAAGAAAGGAGTATTTAATGAGATTATTTCATTCATTCAGATCTAGGATGTGTTATTTTAGTGTTTTATTTTTTTGAGCAGTGTATATTGAGTTGGTGCTGAATTGATTGGATAATTTTGTACTATGCACATTAAATGTTGCTTATGATTAGTTAATTATTTAGAGATTAAAAGGGGTAGGAGTATATTATTTTTACTTCTTCCTACCCCCTTTCAAACATGTAAATAGCAGTTTTCTTTTATTGGCAATCATAAATTGTGTGTTTGATTGCTAAATGTTTTTTGTTATTTCTTTTTTTTGTGTGTTATTTTGTTGTTTGTTTTTTAACATGTTTGAAATAAATATATTAATCAATCAGCAATTTTCATTGAATTAACATCCAACTTTAATAATTAAGTTTTAGTCTTTTTCATTTGCCCAAAAACTTAGATTAAAGTTTGCACACTTGAACATTACTGAATGCTAAACCCAAGCCTTTGGACTGCAATATATGTGCAGCAGTCTTTACCCGACAGCAGGAAAGCACAGGTTATCACAAATGAATATTAACACTAAGGATAGTAATTTTTGTTAATGTTATCATTTAAATGTCAGCTATGTGACTTTCTAACTAGTCTAGATTTTCTTGTTGAGCAGTTGAGGCACTTAGGACAAGGTACTCTTACTGTGCAGTAATTCCTTGAACCGAACGTGTTCATTATCAACAAGTGTTTTCACTGCCGCTGGAGGATCAAGGAAACATACTACTGCTGTGAGTGGGGAGAAACTCTGTTCCTCTGTGTTCTGAAACTGCAGAAGATCTGACACATAGCCGTTTTCATTTTTGATAATGCAGCTAACTCTCTGTATCTTGTTCTCCCACAGAAATCTGACAGGTGGCTGGTGAAGGGGAACAAAGCGAGCCTCACACTGAGGACAGGGACATACTGTGACATTTTGTGTGTTCTGTGAAAGGCAGGAGGAGCTCTTTGAGAGCTTCTAGTTTTTTGCCACTTGTTGGCAAGAAGACCGTGTCAGTCCTCTTGGTTAGCTAACTCAGGTATCCATATTGACAGTGTTAGACCATCTGGTTGGGCAGTCGCTGAGGAGAAACCACATACTTCCTGCAGCTTCTCTGTAAATTTGAGGAGTTTCAAAACAATAGTTCTTGCTTCGTCTTGCAGTCTTTTACATTGGCCTCCTCCTTGTGAGGCTCACAACTTGCTTTAGCTCAAATTTACCCTATAGCCTATTTGTTTCTGTAATGAATGAAAAGCCAAATGTCAGGCGGCTTTTGGCCAGGGAGCCTGGCATCGTTTCATTACAAACCGGAGGATTCATTATGTACGCTGATTGAGTTTTTGGCACCATTGAATTTTACATGATGATACAGTTAATCCACCATAGTGTGCAAATGTCTGTCAATCACTGGGTGAGGGAAAAATTTGGCTTATGAATGGGTCGCAAATTTGGCAACTGGATCTGCTAGTACATAAAGATTATTCCATTGTGGTGATATTGAGAAAAACATGATTTAGTCACTTATTTATTTTGTCACATTGTCATCAGCCATTACTGAGAAAAAACGGTTTTAGTCAGTTTTCATTATTGTTATTTCTCCCATTTACTAGTAAGTGAATTTTATTAATATATCCCCAAATCACAAACTAAATTACTTCTTCTTAAAGAATGATGCAGTTTTGGTGTGAGAACAGGGGCAATCACTGGCAACAAGTGTACCTGGAGTAAATGAACAATGTTAAGTGCACAGGCCAAAGGCAAGATTTCAACTAAAGGTTAGGCAAGTTAAATTTGAGAGGAAAATGGCAAACTGTCTTTCAAGAAGAACCACTGACTTCAATTAAAGCAACTTGTGTTATTTCTGTGTGTGTTTTTTTCTTATTTAATGAAAGTTTATATTTTGTTGTAAAAGGACATTTTTGAAAACACATCGACTTACGGTGAGAAAATTGGTTGTTTGGAAGCAATTTCTCCTAAGATCTCAGTTGCCATGGTGCCAAAAGCAACACATTCATCTGCCCAGACACCAACCTCCCGGTAACAACAGCTGCTCATTCAGTGTTCATGGCATCACACTAATAGACAGAGTGTTTTGTGGTCCTCAGGTCACCAGAGTGTCTGCGGAAACATATTTGCCGCCTTTTCCATTGTGCTGCATGTACAGATGCAGAAATCCTACTTTTTAGTCTGTTAGATTATAATGACATATTAGTCATCAGTTGTGAGGTGACGTGAAAGTTAAAGGTTATAAGTTTGACATTTGGGAAATACACTTCTTTGCTTTGTTGCCAAGAGTTTGAGAAGATTGCAATCCCTTTTTATGTCCGTACGGAAAATATCAATAGATTGGCTGATTTTCAGCTTGATCGGCCGTGACTGGTGACCCGGGCTGATCAGTGCCAGTCAGATTTACATGCATGCTGCAGCACATGATGGTTCACGTCATGTGCACAGTGGCAGTAACTGACTATTGTCACAGACACACACATACGCTAAAACATGAGAGGCAGGATAGAAGTTCTTCACCCTAAGTGAAGAAGAGACAAACTGTAATTAGGGCTGGACCCCAATATCCAAATATTTGAATATTCGATCGTTGGGAACACATTCAATTTTCAATATTGAGATTTTAATATTGAGTTGTTTTTTTTGCAAGCCTAACCTTCACTCACAGCAGTGAACATAACGCTCCAGTTCACATCAAAGGGAAATCAAAATGAAGCCCTCAGCTGTGTAGGACTGAGTGATGACATCAGCACCATGGTATTCATTTAATTTTAATTTCATTAATTTCATTAATTTCATTACAGATCAAAACAGTCCAAACAGCCTACATTTTAAAAGGAATCAGTAAACGTTAGGCTTCAACAAACAAAAAACATAATGAACACATGTAAATAATTATATTAGGGTCATTGTAGAAGAAGAACATTTAGTAGACTGTAATAAAAGTTAAAACCTAACCTTAACATGTTACCTTTCGCTACTAGAAATGGCACTAATCCTGTTTGCTCTCTCTGGACCTCCACCCAGCTAAACTTTTTCTGTATTCTGCTCTAGACCTGCTCAGCTCAGCCTCTCACACTCTGGGCTCTCAGCTACAGTTCAATATCCGTTTCCTTCAACCCTGCAAGTAATATTATATAATAATATCCCTTAAGGTGTACTCACACTAGGCCCGGTTGCCTTGTGCCATGCCTGAGCACGATCGTCTCACATTGCACCTAACAATACTGCTTACCACATTCTCATGCAACATGAGGGGGTAATGCACCTCTAAGCTGGTTTGCCAACTGCCACAGAAGATCCTGACAAGAAAACATGGAGGAGGAGAGTGAAATTGAAAATATAGAGCAGGAGGAGTTGTTTCTGTTTCAAATAGAAGAAAATAATCAAATGTGATGAAGTACAGTATGGTTATTTTAAACCATTTCTTTGAATTGAAATTAAATTTTACAGAACAATTACTGTATTGTGATATATATTCTTACAGTTAAAACTTAAAATTAAATATTTCTTGATAGACTTTGCCCATATCACCCAGACCTAGCTACCAGCGTCTCAAACAATTTATTGTTATATTTTGTTTGTTTAATCTGTACAAAAACTGTAATGTAAAATGGTCAGTTTGCCATTTTATGGGACGTTACATGCCAGTCTGTTTAACATATTGAGGCATCACAGTTTTGTCATGATAGCTCAAGAAAGATACAAAAAGAATGGTCTATATGTAGGAAGTCTCCAGTCACATGTACTGTATCTTCTGTATTCTGCCCATGTTTACAATTATTCTGTATTTATTTTGAAGAGTGACAGGGTATTGTGTTGTCATAAGGTCCCATGGGTTGCTTGTTTCATATTCGAAAGAGCATGAAGGGAAAGAAGTGTTGTATTAATGGTGATGGATGGATTTTCCCCTGGGGTTGAGACAAAGTGCTTTCGATGTATATTTGTCTATTTTGTATTTTCACCTGACTAGCTAGTTTCACTGAACTGCTGAAAAATACACTGTCCAGTATAAGTCAGATATCTATTCTAAACTGCCACTATTTTTCCTTACAACACATCTAGTTGATGGCCTAGAATTATATCACGTGATGTCAGGCAAATATATTGTACAATACAAACAACACAATAATACATTACAAGTTTTATATGGAAGTTATTGTGCTTTGTACAATATTGTGGTCTCTTTACTTAATTTGCAGAAAAACAAGATAATGTTAAAGTTTGCACTAGGGATTGACTGATCCATCCCAGAGATAGACTTGTTAACTATGAGTGATAAATTATCATAAACTTTGTCTTTACCTGCCGCCAGTCAGAATATTAAATCAGTATCTCACTGGAAACAAATGGAACATGTTAAATAAACTCTATTCTTGACATCAAATTAGTGAATGAAGTTTCGAAAGAAGAGCACAGACATCAGTCAGTATCAGTAACTCCTCCTCCTCCTTCTGCTGCTGCTGGTAGAGGAGCTGGTTTCTCTCAACAAGCAGCTGAGCTTGCAAGGAATTACTAAATTTTAAGCTATGTAGCATAAAAGCTAAACAGGCTACAGAAAGAGATTTTGTTTTAGCTTGTTGTAACAAACTAGCTGTTAGCTGAGCCATTTTTTGCTGTCTGTTTTTAAAATGACTAATGAAGATTTTTGGAAAAATTAATAATAATTAAGAATATTGGAATTGCTGAAATACAATCGGTCTGGCCGATTATCGGTCGACCCCTAGTTTGCACATTACACTTCAATTTTCTGGACTTTTTTGGCCTGCAGATGTTTTTTAGGCTTTGTTTTTACATAACTAATGCTACCAGTTGGTCACAATACCGTACCAAATTTGAAATATTATAAATACTCAATTGGAAAAATACAAACATTGCAAACAAGATGTGAACTATATGCTGGAGCAGTTATTAGTCTTGTGAGTGCTAACATTTCTTCCACAATGTGCCTCCTTTTACGCCTTGTCACTTCTTTTCTGCCCTTTAAATAAGTTTGTTTTGATTTTACACTGTGGCTAATGAAACACATTTGTAGATATGAAAATGATCAATTGTAAACAGACAAGGACAGGTAAACATGCACATTTGCCACTTAAATGACAACATCGGCACAGCATATTAACATTACACTTTTTTTTTCTCAGTCAACTTTTTATTGCTTAAGTTAAAACAGTTTTGGTTATGTAATATTTGAGATTTCTGTTTTCAGAATTTCAACAAATATAACTAAAAAATGCTTCTGATATAAATTGTCTACACCAGCTTTAAGATTTGATGCCAAGTTGTCAAGGGGCTTTAAGGTAATAATAGAGAAGATGGGGCACCACTCTGTAATTCATTTAGATAATCATTATTTTGGTTACATTTGTGTTTGGTTGTTTCCACATTAATTAAAGACCTTCACAAAGGCAGAGCTCAGTGAAGTGTGCTCTGTACTGGCCTAAATAAAAATTCTGTGCAGCAGGAGTGAAAGCCATCAGAATTTAAAAAGATGGGATATAATGCAGAGTCAATAACTATCATTCATAGGCCAACAGGGGTTAAACCACAGGCTCAGACACAAAGGTTTACATAATCAAACGGTCAGCCGCTAACTTCTAATGATTTCTGGCCCAGTCAATATGCAGATATCTATCTTTTTAAACAGTGTATCACGCAACTTGTGTCTCACAGTGAAAAGTACACAGCTTACAGAATTTCTCCTGTGCATAACGATACACTAACATATTCTAGTGATCTTACTGACATTATCTTCAGAGAAAGTAGATTTTTTGCATTCTTGCTCTGGGAATGGCATTTGCCTTGTCTTTGTCCCAGCATTTCTGCTATAATCTTGCAAGCTGAACTCTAAATTGTATAACAAAGCATCAGTCACAGCCTGCTGCATGTAACATTAATTAGTTTTACACAAATCCACAGGTAGCTGTGGTAAAATGGATCACGTCAGGAAAACAAATTAACTTCTTACTGAAGGTTTGTGTCATTGCAAGTGATATTGCTGCAAAAATGTTGACAGTGGATTTTCTAAACATCCATACTTTGTATTCTGCCATGTTTCATTTCTTAATTGTCAGAGGTCATACCTGGGCTGATTGATGAATGTCTTAATCAGCTGTGCCAATAGCTCAAAGTATAATTGATATTTGAGGTCATTTTTTTCTCTCTTTTACTGAAGATAAAAGTAGTTAAGTGTTTGATGTGCTTTATCACTAGTCACTATGGCCATGTTGCAACACCATGTTTCTACAGTAGCCCGGAATGGACAAACCAAACACCGTCTTTAAAGAGGGCCTTTTGTGTGATTTATTTCTTTTTCTTTTTCTTTCAAGTTTTTACAGCCACTGTAAGTTCTACAATCTTAGGAGAGCGTCTTCAACCTCACCTCTAGATGCCACTAAATCCTACACACTTTAAAGCACTACTAAAGCACTTTCTCTCAACGTTGATATCAAACTTTTAAATAATACTTCAAGCTGACATATCAATTTAAATACTACACATATTCAAAGTATTGCTGTATATCTGACAACCAAAAATGAATTCCTCTGAATTGAAATTATATTATCAAAGACACAAAATAATTCTTTGTATCTGTGTTTGATAGATGCACATTAGTAAATAATAAAATATTTATAATATTTAATAATTATATAATAAAAATAATTTCCTTTCTTTCGTGGGCCAACACTTCCACTTGCACTCACTGGCCTCTTTATTAGGTACTGGCTAGTACCCTGTTTGATCCCCTTTAGAACTGCCTTAATTCTTTGTGGCATACTTTCAACAAGGTGTTGGAAACACTCCTCAGTGTACCGCAGTTGCTGCAGATTTGTCGGCTCCACATCCATGATG